TTCTTGTAGTGTGGGGCCCAAAACTGGACACAGTACTCCAGATGAGGCCTCACCAATGTCGAATAGAGGGGAACGATCATGTCCCTCGATCTGCTGGCAATGCCCCTACTTATACAGCCCAGAATGCCGTTAGCCTTCTTGGCAACAAGGGCACACTGTTGACTCATATCCAGCTTCTCGTCCACTGTAACCCCTAGGTCCTTTTCTGCAGAACTGCTTCCTAGCCATTTGGTCCCTAGTCTGTAACAGTGCATGGGATTCTTCTGTCCTAAGTGCAGGACTCTGCACTTGTCCTTGTTGAACCTCATCAGGTTTCTTTTGGCCCAATCCTCTAATTTATCTAGGTCCCTCTGTATCCTATTCCTACCTTCCAGCATATCTACCACTCCTCCCAGTTTAGTGTCATCTGCAAACTTGCTGAGAGTGCAGTCCACGCCATCCTCCAGATCATTAATGAAGATATTGAACAAAACCAGCCCCAGGTCCGACCCTTGGAGGCACTCCGCTTGATACCGGCTGCCAACTAGACATGGAGCCGTTGATCACTACCCATTGAGCCCGACGATCTAGCCAGCTTTCTAGCCACCTTATAGTCCATTCATCCAGCCCATACTTCTTTAACTTGCTGGCAAGAATACTGTGGGAGACCGTATCAAAAGCTTTGCTCAAGTCAAGGAATAACACATCCACTGCTTTCCCCTCATCCACAGACCCAGTTATCTCCTCATAGAAGGCAATTAGGTTGGTCAGGCATGACTTGCCCTTGGTGAATCCATGCTGACTGTTCCCGACTCCATACTGACTGCTATCTCCTGATGGGCAGTTAATTTGGCTCCGGCTCCTGGGGACATGGAAGGAATGACAAAGCAACTTTCCCACCGGCCCTGATCCTGGCTGATGGCAGGCCCAGCAGAGAGGCAATAGGTGGGTGGGACATGGAGACTGACCTCCCTGTCCACCTCCGGGCAGGCCCTGCAGGGTCGGGGCTCAGTGCCCTGCTACTCGCGCTGTCCGTGCGCTCTGGATAAATGGGGGCCATGGGCTGTTCACCTAGGGGCTCACCCAGCACAGTCATCCCTGGCCCTAGCCCAGAGCTCTGCTCAGGGGTCCCAGGGCTGTCATCACCCCTCTAGCCTGCCTGTGGTCCGGGGCCTGAGTCTGATGGGAGCTGGCTGGGCCGTGCGCTCCCTGAGGAGGTGGTGCGGGGCAGGAGTCATCACATGCCGGCTGGGATACTGCGTAGAGCAGGCTCTTCTTGGCTTGTTCCAAGGCCAGAGCCTCAGGGCCCTGATCCTGGCTCTGGCTGGGCACAGGCATCTCCCGCCCATCGGTGGAGCTCTGCGAGGCTGCCAGGAGTCCAGCATCTCGGAGTGGGCTCGTGCATTCCTAATCCCAAGGCCAGAAGGGACCATCCAGTCTGATCCCCTGGAATGCACAGGCAGACACCCGCCCCTCAGGGCAGGTCTGTTAGAAAAACCTCCCAACTTGATTTAACAATTGTCAGGATTGGAGAATCCACCTTGCAAAGTTGTTCCAATGATTAGTTACCCCGGCTGTTAAACATTTACACCTTATTTCCAGCCTAAATTTGTCTGGCTTCAACTTCCAGCCATTGGATCATGTGACACCTTCCTCTGCTGGACTGAAGAGCCTGTTATCAAACCTCCATGTGCCAGCCTCTGTCCCCAGGACCGTTCTGCTCTGCTACAGTCACTTCCCTTCCCTTTGCCTCAGTTACCCCATCGATACACCGGGAAGGAGAAGTCCTGAGGCACTTGGATGAAAGGGGATCTCGATGCCTAACCTAGGCCAGCGCAGTGTGGCTCAAGCAGTAGCAGCTCATGCTTTTAAATCCAATGGTCCCAGTTCAAGCCCCATAGATGGATCATCATTAGAGAAACATCCGTCTCTGTTACGAAGGGTGCATCCACACTCAGAGTAGTACAGCTGCAGCACTGCCGTGTAGACAGTAACAGGAGGGGCTCTCCCGTCAGGCCTGGTCTACATAGAATCATAGAATATCAGGGTTGGAAGGGACCTCAGGAGCAGGGCCGGCTCCAGGGTTTTTGCCGCCCCAAGCGGCGCAAAAAAATTAAAAAAAGCCGTGATCGCGATCTCCGGAGGCAATTTGGCGGGAGGTCCTTCGCTCCGAGCGGGAGTGAGGGACCCTCCGCCGAATTGCTGCCGAACAGCTGGACGTGCCGCCCCTCTCCGGAGTGGCCGCCCCAAGCACCGGCTTGGCAAGCTGGTGCCTGGACCCGGCCCTGCTCAGGAGGTATCTAGTCCAACCCCCTTCTCAAAGCAGGACCAATCCCCAACTAAATCATCCCAGCCAGGGCTTTATCAAGCCTGACCTTAAAAACCTCTAAGGAAGGAGATTCCACCACCTCCCTAGGGAACCCATTCCAGTGCTTCACCGCCCTCCTAGTGAAATAGTGTTTCCTAATATCCAACCTAAACCTTGTTCTGCAGACAAAACTACACAGGATCATTTCAGGGGGCAAGACAAAGATGCCACATTTATTATGATAACACAATTTGATTTATAACCAATAACTTAATACCTACACACACACACACACACACATTTACACATCAGATGT